AGTGGTGTGTGCTCATACGATTATCGGACCTCTCACACTTGTTCCCTAACATATGTAAAAATGGCTGTCACAAATAATCCCTCAGTAAACAACTCCTTTCCTCTGAGGTTGTTCTCCTGCTTGCAAAAATAAATAAATAAAAAGAAAATACCCTCATGGGACAAGGGCTCAAGCCATACCTTGACCATTACTAATTGAACAGACTTTATAAATCCCCAGCATAGCCCTTCTCTGCCCAGGCATGGGCTCTGATTTACAAGTGACAGGTCTGACCCAATCTGTACCCCTTCTTTCTGAGCTTCAGTTATCAATACAAATGATGGAGGAAACCAATACTCCCAACACATCTACCAACTCCAGAGTTAGTGTTAGTTTGGAAGGGCTTTGCTTTTAGAACATAAGGCATCACTTTGCAGAACTCACCATTTACTGAGATCCTGTTCCTAACCACAAACACATAATATGGCTCACACGGAAAGTAGTTTGAATCCCACAGTATCAGTTCAGGGACTATGACTTTGTGTCTTCCCACAACTGCATTCTGGAATTCTTGGGCACACAACCACTACAGCAACTTCAAAATTAATTTCAGTGAGAAGTCCATGACTTTACTTTCTTGCACCAAGAAAATCTATCAGTTCTTCTCTCACAATTCTTTCCCTTCAATATCACTTTGATTTTTCCTCTGATGTAGAATCTTTTCTCCTCTCCATTCTTTATCCCAGAGCCTATTCTTATCCACCTGCACTATATCTCATGACATCAACTTGAGACAGAATCCGGTATCTTGCTATCAATAAAAGGGAACTGAGTCAGTCTAGCCAGATAGTTCCTATCAATTCCTCATACCCAAAAGCTAACCTAAGTATAAACTGCTGTCTTGCTTCCTCTGCTCTGGGATTTCCCAGACCATCAATATTAAAAAGGAAAGTGAGCAGCAAGAAGCAGTATGGTGTGGTGGAAAAATACTCTTTTTGCTGAAAAATTTCTTCTTCTTTTCCATCTCCCTTGATGCCTTGGGAAAAAAAAATTTAATTAAATTCAAATAGTTGAATACATTTGGATTTACAGATGGACCACTATGGATATGTGTTCCAATAAAATGCCATCTGAAATTTTATGTTTATGTGGGAAAGATAAAGCTGAAGTGTATTAAGCTTCATAGAACATGTAGCATAATGAACTTAAAAAATAAAAATAATAGCCAACATCTGTAGAACAATTCCATATCTCTTCTAATCTTAGTGTTATTTCTGTGACGATATAATTACTAGGCCAACTCAGGATACCTCCCTGTAGACCTGTAGTGAGAGACTGCTCTGTTCTTAACCGATTATTCATGGATTTGTATTTCCAGTTGGCCTCCCTTTTATGGTCACCAGAATTAACAGGATCTCATTAAGTCATTCATTGCCTTCTGGGCAACCAGCTAGTCAGTTATTAACATCTGTCATATATGGTGAAGCAGATGTCCCTGAGTTGGTTAAGTACTCAGAAATTATCCCAGCACTGAAAATAAATGGGGCTCAAGCTCTGTTCTTATGGGTGATAACTGTGAATGGCATCAAACTAAACCAATTTCTGACAATAAGGTTAAGCATAGGTAATATGGGAAGAAATCTGCAGTCCAAGTACCAACTGTTGAAGGTCAGCTGTTGCTCCTGGAGCTGAGAGCTTTTTAGCAGCAATGTAGGACATGATTTTCTCTTTCTCTTCTTGAAGTTCTTACCTGCACACCCTCCCCTCCCCAGAGGAAGCCAAGCACAAATCCTGATGAGTGTGTACACAGATTAGTTAAAAAAAAAAAATGCTTGGTAAACAGCTGCTTCACATTTTTCCTTTCTCTGTTCCAAAGTGACTTTTGAAACCTGATAGTGGTCTCAGTCATGTTTTATAAGAATTATTTTTTTTTTATGCATTTGAGGTTAAATTGACATTTAAAAAGCCAGCTCTCAGGCAAAAGGTAAAATTACAAGTAAATACTTAACCAAAAAAGTCTTTTTGAAAACAAATGAGGATATAAATTAAAGCAAAAATCTTCTGATGATTCCAAATGTGTTTCCTTTTCAGCTGGAAATGAATGTATGAGCGGCCAGGACCTTCTCTTATTTGTGCTCCCTACAGGGCCCAGCACAGTTTTGCTTTCTTTATGCTCAGAGTGGTTGCCCTAGGGCTTCAACTCTCCATTAACAGATCTGCTGTCTTGCCGAGCACATTCCACCTGGCGAGGGAAATGGCATCAAGAAGTTCTTATTTCCAATCACATTGGAGACCTACAAAAAGAAAAGAAAATCCCCTAGGCTTTCCAGAAGATTAATGTTGAGTTAAACCACAGAAATGTACTATCCATGAAAGATCAAACTGCAGTGAGATCCCACCAGGGAAGAACCAAAGAACCCAGGGACTGACAGAATCCCTTTCAGGTCCCATTCTAATACTCAGCAGAGGTTCAGTGGAAGCTTATCTCAAAGGACATAGATGCACTAGCTGATACCCAGATAGAAATCATCACTTTAAGGCTAGGCAACTTCCCATTAAGTCTAGCAAATTCCTGGTAGGCAGTCTTTGTGCTTGCCTTCTGGTTATTTTATAGATTTTGCAAGGAAAACATGAGGTGGGTAGTGAAGATCAGAAGATGAAGCTGCAGATGGGCCACATGACCTCCCTGAGCTTGTTCAACTACACATCTATATAGCAAGGGGCTTAGACTAGATACTCTCTCCACCTTGAACTGGAAAGCCCTCATCTCCTGCTGCCTGGAGCTAATATACCAACTGTGGGCAGAAGTTGGTTCCAAGAGGTAAGGATTTTATCCTAGCTACACTCAATCTAACTATCTCAGTGCCCATCTTCTCAGGGGGAGCTAAATGACAGATTCCCTAGGAACCCACTTACTTCTCTTAAGCTGAATCTCTGCCTGATGACCATGCTAGGTTGCAACTCCTGGCCTTGCAAGTGTACAGCTCTGCAAGTCCTTGGTGCACAGGACTCAACCGTGAACTTCCCCTTCTAGCTCTTTCTCATGACCACTTCCTCACACACCACCACCTCAAACCCACTCTTAACAAACATACCCAGAGCTCTAAATGATTTAAAAGGAATAGTTCTCTCCATTCCAAATGGAATTAATTAAGTGGAACTCAATTACTATTGACTATATACATTAAAAAAAATTATCAGGAACTATTCTTTTACCCAAGGGGTGAGGGGTGGTCCAAGTTTGGTTAGGCCTCATCTGGGGTAATTTGAAACTAGTCTAGAGCTATGAAGGGGCCCATACGAGTGAGGAGCCCTGAGACTGTGCTGTATTAGCTTCAAGGTAAATGCACTCTGTCCTTTCCTAGGAAACTGAAACCAGAGGGACAACTACACTTCCTCTGCCATGAGATGTTCTCTCCCTTGTGATTACTCACTACTTGTAACATAATAAGAGCCTGAGTATGGGAGTCAGAAGGTCCAGGTTCAAATACCATCTCTGTCTCTCTCTCTCTCTCTTTTATATATATATATATATATATATATATATATATATATATATATTAGTTGTTAACCTTTTATTTATTTATTTATTTATTTTTAAATTTATATGGTGCTGAGAATCGAACCCAGTGCCTCACACATGCCAGGTAAGTGTGCTACCACTGAGCCCCAGCCCCAGCCCCCATCTCTGTCTCTTTACTTGCTTTGTGATCTTGAGCTTAAAGTTGCCTCACTATGCTTCAATTTTCCTCCCTGGGGGGGAAAAAAAAATGAGTAAGAGCTGGGTGCTGTGGCGCATGCCTATAGTCCCAGTGGCTCGGGAGGCTGAGGCAGAAGAATCACAAGTTCAAAGCCAGCCTCAGCAACTTAGCAAGATCTTAAGCAACTCAGCAAGACCCTGTCTCTAAATAAAATGTTAAAAAAGGGCTGGGGATGTGGCTTAGTGGTTAAGCCCCCGCAAATGCCCAGGTGTTAAAAGCTTGGCTGCCAGCCTATGGTGCTATTGAGAAATGGCATAAATCTTTAGGAATTGAGCCTCATGGACAGGAAATTAGGCCACTGGAGGCATCCTCTTGAAGGAGATATTAGGACCCCCAGCCCTCCTCTCTTTCTCTTTCCCTTTTGCTTCTCAGCTATCATGAGGTAAGCAGCTTCCTCTGTTACACGTTCCTGCCATGATGTGCTGCTCATCACAGACCCAAAGATAACAGGGCCAAGGGACCGTGGTCTGAAACCTCTGAAATCATAAGCCAGAATAAAACTTTGCTCCTTATAAGATGATTATCTCAAGGGGGCACGGGGGAAAGAAAGATGGTGGAATGAGATGGACATCATTACCCTAGGTACATGTATGATTGACTGCACATATGGTGAGACACTACATTGTGTACATCCAGAGAAATGAAAAGTTGTGTTGCAATTGTGTACAATGAATCAAAATGCCTTCTTCTGTCATATATACCTAATTAGAATAAATAAATAAATAGACTTTTTAAAATCACAGAAAAAAAGGTGATTATCTCAGGTATTTTGTCACAGTGACAGAAAACTGATTAATGCATAAGGGATGGCATTTTTTTTACTTAATACATGAAAGAGTCTTGAATTCTATTCACTCAGTGAATGAAAGATAGTATTCCCATTCAACAATTTTCATTAGATTTGGTGTGTCTTAAATTTGCCTTACACAAAGACAAGTCAGTTATTAATTTGAAAATATTAATAAGTAAAGAACATGAAAGCCTCCATTCATGGGAAATATAAAAGTATAAAAACAAAATACAAAACAGGACCCCACTTACCATAACCAGTGGTTTATGATTTTTTTTTTTGTACTTCAACATATCAGAGGATAAAACACATGTCAGTTGACAACAATGGTTTTAGAGAGCATCAATGGGAAAAGAGTATACAATTTGCAAAACTACTAGGTATTTTTTTGCCTTCTTAATTCTCCTTCAACATATATCCCAAACTTATGACCCATCCCGTCCCAGTCAAGAAGCACACTTTTATAATAATTAAGACAAAATATTAAATTTATTCAGTTGATTTGATCAGTCACATTGGACAAAAATGTTGGGTTTCCTTTGCATAATGTAAAAACATATTTTAAGTAGGAATACTTACATACTTTACAATGCTACAAATATGTACATATATGAAAAATTCATGAAGGCATTTGATATAAAACATACACAGTATGCTATTTTCATATACAAATGCTTTAAAGAAAATACTCAGAAGAATTACAAAAGTAGTAGTATCACCAAGAATTTACAAATGTTTCCATTTTCTTAAAGGTCACATTTCTCATCCTTTGGGATGTACAGAGATTATGTGGTTTACACAGTTTTATCCACATTCAAAACATCATGTTTCAAATGCTTTAAGCATAGCATGTACAGTACAAAGTGTTTCCATAGGAACATAAAAGAGACTCACTAGTGGCCTGCTGTCTGATGGCTCCTAAGTAAACAGCCATTTTTAAGGCACTAGTTAAGCTTATTGCTACAATAGTCAAGTTATTCTATTCACCCAAAATATAATGTATTCAATTGATACTTGAATCTACCAACAAAGAATTATCCTACTATATACACCAATATATACAACACAACTATTCTGAGTTAAATGAAGATCCCACATTTAAATAAGAACCAAGAATAGTAATTTTAGGCTAGTCTCCTCATGATTGGTATTTTTAAAATTTCAAGCAAAATGCACATTGAATGAAACCAGTCACCAGAAATGATCCTTCTATCAATTCTTCCCTTTCTTCCTTTAATTCCCGCCACATGAATAATGAGAACCTTGAGACCTGGCATATACCAGAGTAGCTTCACAAATCAAATCCACAGGGGGCCACTTGGAGTCCCATTCATATGTATGTCACTGGAATCCCCACTGCTTGCTTTTAATAAAGGGAATCCAGAGCCACTCTGTAGAGTCTGCAGAACCAAAGTCCAGGAGATAAAGGCCATCTTTAGTTGAGGGCAAATAGTGCCATCCATCAGCCATATTCCAGTGTTGGTGGGCCCCGAACAAGATTGAAGTAGCCAGCCAGGGCACCAAGGTCTATGTAGAGAGAACGCTGTCTCTTGAGCATCTCAGATTCCTCAGTGCTTCCTGTGCATGAAGAATCTGAAAAGGGAAACATTGCAAAAACACAATAAAATACAAGGGGCCATGTGAAATAACAATGTATATTCCTTCTGCAAAGAAATGATCCTTTGGAGCCTACTCAAACAGGGTCCAAGCTCTGGTTTTGTTACAGATAGCCCTCTAAATACACCATGGGCTAATTAATGGATCATGACAGAGACCAAAGAGTTCAAACAGGAGTTAATGATGACAAGAAATTTGTTAGAAATCCTGGCACATTTTACAACAACCCAGATGATTTTCTTTAAATACAGAAAAAAATCAGACAAAAAGCAGAGAAATGGAAACAAGCATTCCAGACTTGACATCTGGGTTTGGGCCTCAATGGACTATGAATGCCACAGATTAATAAAAATGAAAGTCCCTCTCTGTGCATATCCAGTCTCCTGGAATGCATAATGACTTTCCTAGATGGAAACAATTCAGAGCTGACAAAGAGAGTTTAAGCACAGAAAGACAAAAATGCAAGTTGACTTCAAACTCAGTATTTTATCTGTTCAGAGCAAAGCAGTGCCAGGAGGCTTCTAACCCAGGATGGGATGGACTTACCCTAATTAAGTTAAACATAACCTGCACTCACAGCAAAGCTGTCGTGCTCTATTTGTTTTTAACACCAAATAATAGTCTCTGTTGCAAAACAGCAAGTCAGAGGCAATTTTTAATGATTATGTTAGGTAACATTCACTTACACTGAAAAACTGCTATAATTTGATGGTAAATTAGCCAATTTTTTAAAAAATTGCTTTTGTTAATGTTTTTCTTGAATTTCTCAAACAACACATGGTATTCAAGAACAGTGCCAGCCCAGTTGAATTCTTGGGCTCAAGGGATCCTCCTGCCTCAGTCTCTTGAGCAGCTGGGACTACATCTAGGCATGTGTCATTGCACCCTGTCATTCCTCTTTTTTTGGAATACATTCCTGAACTACATCAGAGATCTGACATGAACAGAGAAAGAATGGAGGCCAGAGGCACTGCATGCCACAGGGTGTCCTACCAGCAATATTCTCAGGAAGCTCCAGCTCCTTCCTGCTCAACAGTCTCTTTCGTTCAAAGAGAGCAGAGTCCAGGCTCTGACAGCGTGGCTGATCCTCTCTGGGGGGATTCAGGGCTTCATGTTTTAGCAGGTCTGCTGCTCTTGGACGGTGATTGGGGTTCCTCTCCAGGGCGGCTTCTATCAGCTCTCTCATGCCTGGACTGCAGTCATCAGCTATATCTTCCAAAGGAGGTGCTTGCTTGTGGATCTACCAACAAACCAGTTCTTAGTATCAACAGCAGGGAAACAGACCCTCAACAGGAAATGTGCTCCAGACCCAGAAATTAATCTGCTCCCCACCATACGATTTACGACAAATATGGTTCATACTCTTAAAAGAAGATTCCCTTTAATTTTCTAGGGCACTAAATTAAACCCATCTTTTGGTTTAATGCTGCAAAAGGTACATGCTAGGTTTGAATAAGCAATGACCACTTCCCATGGATGGCCCAAAGGTCACCATGCAATAATAGGGAAACATTTACTCTCAATAGCAAAATGGGAGTTGCACGTTCCACTATAAGCCAGGCTGGAGCAAAGACCAATAATCTACCTTTTCTTTAAAAGTAAGAGCATATAAAATTTCCCTGGTTGACAGATTTGTAGTATTTTGACACTATTATGTGGTATTTTATTATTACATATACAGTGCAATAGAATAGCATATAACTTATGCCCAATGGACATTTTGGTATGTTCCCATTAGAAGAGCCATGCTTTCTTTGCAAAATGGAGCTTACTTCCACAGAGGAGGAACCCACAGCTACCTTTCATAAACACTATTTCACCATCACCTCATTCAGGAGTGGGTATTATGGGAGGTAGAACAGTCCCTCCCCATCAGCAGGTGAAACTACCCCCATCCCTGATTGACCCTCACTTACTATATACAGGTAAGAGGGATAGGCTGAGCGGGGGTAGCGCTTCACCCAGGGCGGGGTGCCCGTCTGCATGTGGATAAGCGTGGCTCCCAGACTATAGATGTCTGCCTTCGTGGAATGGCCTCTGCATAGGATCACCTCTGGACTCATGTAAATCTGGAAAAGATGTGGGAAACGTCAGCCTGATTCCTCTCAGTTGTCTGGGTTTCCATTTCTCCAATCCAGTTCTGAAAATTGGCTCATTCACTTTTATCATATTTTTTGCATGTTTTGTCCTTTCAGAAGACAATGTGATGTCATTGCTGTGTTCCCTTAAGCTAAGGAGTATGTAGCAGACATTCTCTTGGAACTAGGCAGATTTGGATGGATGCATCCCTGCAGTCTGACAAAGAATACCTCCTTCCACAGACAAAACACATGCTTCATCAGACAACAAACGGCCTAGAATAAAAAAGCCACCTGGGACTCCCACCAATCAGAGTTCTGCAAACACTGATTGGGTATAGTTAATTTTTCTATTAAAACACCAATTCCTTTCATATATATATATTTTTAAACTTTTGGTAGCAGGTATTGAACCCAGGTATTGAACCACCGAGCCACATCCTCAGCCCTTTTTATATCTTATTTAGAGACAAGGTCTTGCTAAGTTACTTAAGGCCTTGTTAAGTTGCTAAGGCTGGCTTTGAACTTGCGATCCTTCTTCCTCAGCCTCTCGAGTTGCTGGGATTACAGGCATGTGACACAGCGCCCAGCCTCCTTTCATATTTAAGTGATACTACAAATATACTTCCTCATCTGTTATTTAGTTGCCAAACCTCTAATTATCAGTAGTGTTAAAAGGTGGCAGAAACTTATAGAATATTAACACCAATTGCTTGGAGGGGAAGAACTTTAAAAAATAAAGTGTAATGCTGCAAAAGGGGTCCTAATGAGTCATTTCTTTTTTTTTCCTTGTGGTGCTTGGAATTGAACCAAGGGCCTTGTGCATGCAAGGTAAGCACTCTACCAACTGAGCTGTATCCCCAGCCCACAGTGAGTCATTTCCATGGACCACCTTTTACTTCCACCTACCATGTAAGCCCAGTGACTGAAAATGAAATGCCTGTCACATTAATGGTGTCTAAATTCTATTTAGTGTAACAGGTAGATACTAAATAAGTAGGGCTAGTTTTATAAATAATTCTCTAAGAAGTGCTTATTTCTAAACTTTTAAGAGATAAAAACAGAAAACATTAGTAGCCAATAATCCATGTTTATGGCTAGGTACAGACATAGTAGGTAATATCCTAGGTTTTGATTTAGGTTGAACATCCCTAATCTGAAATCCAAAATTTTAAAGGTTCCAAAATCTGAAGCTTTCTGAGTCCCGAGAAGATGCCACAAGTAGAAAATAATACCCTTGACCTCATATAACTGGTCATGTAACACAAATGCACAAGGCATGGTGGCACATGCCTGTAGTTCTAGCTTCTTAGAAAACACGGGCAGGAGGACCAATTAAGCTCACAGATTACAGAACAAGCCAGGACAACATAGTGAGGCCCAACTCAAAACAAAAACAAAAATAACTCCAAACTACAAAAACATAGGCATACTAAAATTATTGTAAAAATTGTCTTCAGCCTCTGTGTATAAGTTGGGCATGAAACATAAGTGAATTTCATATTTTGGTTTAGGTCCCATCCCAAAAGATATCTCATCATGTATATGCAAATGTTGCAAAATTTAAAAAAAAAGCCAGGAATCTTAAACATTTGTGGGATTAAGTATTTTGAATGAGGAATAATAAAGCTATTATTTAGATTTAAAAAGTTTGATGCTGTCTGTCATGTGAATATGGAGAAAAGGGTAATGTTCCCAGAATACATCTCTGAATAAGTAAGTAGAGAACAAGCTTACAAAAACTGGGGAAACTGCCCAGTTTCCCCTTCCCAGCCTCAACTTCGTCCTAAAACACACTTCCAGGCTGACTTCCTTTCACTCTCAGCAAACATGCTAAACTGAGTTCTCTGTTCACAAACTTTCTCTGCAACAAAGACAGAGTATTTAGATACTGAATGGAGTGGGCGTTCATATCAATAGAGGAGATCCATCTCCTTCAGACCCCTCAAGGTAAAGTAAGGATTAAGCCAATTGTATATTTGGTATAACCAACTGTGGCCATGCACAAGTGGCTTTGCAGACTCTATGTGACTGCACACCGAGGGTGCATCTGGCAATGGCAGCATAGGGTACAGCCTGGTGACCTGGATGCTGGCCCTCAGATAGATACCTAGAACTTCATGGCTCAGATGAAGTTTATATCATATAAAGTGAAACTAAAAAAAAATACATGCAGATGGACCCTTTATATGTTTTATATGGTTATAATACAATGCTCTGAATATGAATGCTGAGAGCGAGAGACAGACAGAAAGACAGAAATCCAACACAGATGACTGATACTTGTAAGCTATTATGGTTAGGGATCAGAAGTCATCTGGCTGTGCAATAGCCATGTAACTAAGTTCTAAAGGAAAGCAAATCCATTATATGCGTACAGTTGACTTTGACTAAATATATCTCATTTGTTATGAGGAATAAAAGCAAGTTTATTGAAAGGATTCATTGATGACTTTACGAAATTTATCACACTCCCTATTAGCAAATTTTAGTCTGTGAACACTGCACAGATAGTAAATGCAGGTTGATTAAAAGAGAGTTTATAAACACCAAAGCCGGTTTTGCACTTCACATAAAGTAGTTTGCATTAGCTAAAAATACTTGTCTAAACACTATTCAGTGGTGAAGTCTGCTATTATGTCATATCCAAGTATCCTTCGAGAATCCCAGAGAAGACACATCTTTCTCTAGCATTGCAAAATGTTCAATTTGACTGCATTGCCAGGAAGCAAAAGGTATTTTCCATCTCTAATACCATAAATAGTTTCTCATACTAGCTCCAGGAAAAAGGGTGGAATGTCACATATCTGAACTCCTAAGTAATGCCAAAATATGCTGAAACATTTTCCAAAGAAAACATGTCATAAGCATCAAGTCATATTAGATTTTGTTCTGGCAAAGTACTCTTAAGAACTGAGTACTAAACATAGTTGTTGTTGTTTTTTAACACTCTACAGTTTCTCTTCTGAATATTATTCTGCTCAAAGATGATGATCAAGAAATTTCTCTCATGTCATGCAAAACAAGGCATGTTAGCAAAACAAGGGTATCTTCACTGCACAGGGAGTCTTTGCTTTGGGAGAGTTAAGAAGAGCATAACAGAATCTCAGTTTGGAAGCAAGATTTTTTTTTTTTTTCCTCATTGCAATTCAGTAGCTACACTATGGGCTGTCATCTGGTTCAATAGTAAGACTGACATGGTAAACTTGAAGCAAACATGTAGCCAAGGACTCTCTCCACTTCCAGTGGCCACTATGGGTGTGGGAAGTTCATGGCAGCAGGAGTAGCCAAGAGGCAGCTTTACCTCTCCCAGGTGCATGGCTCTGTTCCCATCACATCCTATTGTTAACTCAGCTGCTGATCTCTTAATAATTCATGTGAATCTCAAAGAGATCCTTCTGGAGGAGGGAGGGATGGGGAAAGGTTGATCACTGAGAGCTCAGTTGTTATTAGATATGAGCAAAAAGTTCTGGTGTGCTATTTGTGACTATAGGTAGTGATTGTGTATTGTCTCTCTTGAAATGCAAGAAGAAGGATTTTGAATGTTTTCACCATAAAGAAGCAATATAAGTTTGAGGAGAGAGATGTTTAAACTGATATATATGTGTATTGAAACATCACAGGGTAACTCATCAATAGGTACAATTTATGTCTTTATGTATGCAGTTAAAAAATAAATGTAATTAGGCACCACATGATATGGTACGTGCCTGTAGTTTCAGCTACTCAGGAGGTTGAGGCAGAAGGATTCCCAAGTCTGAGGCTAGCCTGGGAAATTTAGTAAGACCTTGTCTTAAAAAATTAAACTAGAAAAAGGGCTGGAAATATAGCCCAGTGGTAGAGCACCCCTGGGTTCAATCCCCAGTACTGCAAAAATAAATAAATAAATTTAGTTAGACAATAAAATAATATGTTAGAATAACTTTCTAAAAAGTAAATCAATTAATCTAATTAACTATACAGTGGGGACCAAGAAGTATCACCAAGGGCACATGCTTGCTGGTGTCCGTAACAGTCTGTCACATGCCAGACCCTCAGTAGACACTGGCTATAGTCAACCACTCAGCCTAATGATGGGAATGTAAAATATATTATTTGAAAGCCCATAAATGTTTGCCCCAGAAACTCATTTAGATTCACAGATGAGTTAAATACTATAACTATTTTATATCTTCAAATGAGATGTGTTTGTGCTAATGACTTCAGATTTATTATAAGACACCTAGAATGAGAAATAGGGCTTTGTAGGAAGTTCTCAATAAATAGTAATGATCATGGTAATTAAGACCATAATTGAAACAAAACATAATGGTATTAGTTATATTAGTAGTACATTTTAGCAATATATTTATTATATTAAATGGGCTATATGTGTTATTCAGTGGTAGAGTGCTTGCCTAGTTTGTTTGAGGCCCAAGGTTCATTACCTAATACTGAAAAAAAAAATTACACAGTAGGTAGACTTTTGGCTTAAAGAAAGAACAGAATTCAAGTCTGAGATCTGTTAGTAGCTAAACAACTTCAGGTATTTTATTTTAATCTCTTCAAGTTTATTTCCTTATAGTATAATAATAGTATTAGCTATGATAACACTATTACCAATAATAGAGTTGTCAGAATTAAATAACATAATTCATTTACAGTGTTAAACCTATTTTTACAAAGTTAACTATAATTCCATAATTGCTTTTAAAGCTGAATTGTGGACGTGCAAGTTGACTTTCTCTTATCTGAAATACTTAGGACTAGAAGCATTTCAGATTTGGGAGTTTTTTGGATTTGGGAGTAGTTGTATAAACTTTACCAGTTGAACATCCCTAATCTCTGGATTTTTCAGGTTAGGATGAGGATTGCTCAACTGGTAATCTATTTTGGCATTAGATAATTTCTAAGTGTTTTATATATATATATATATATATATATATATATATATATATATATATATATACACACACACACACACACACACAAATATATAGGTGTACATGCATAATATTATATGATAAATATTATAATGTATTATAAATAGTAGAGAATAAAGAATTAAATTTAAAGTGTCAAATTTAAAACTTGGTACAAAACAAGTGACCATTAAATTTGTTCCGATGACAATGACTTTCATGTAATGCTTTTCATCTCCTTCTTTGTCCTTTCTCACAGTAATTCTAGAATACATTTTTTTCTCAAGATACTAAATATTTTCATATGAATATAATTACCTCTGTTCCTCGAAGATCCTTAGGGAAATAGATATCTTCAGTCATCTGAACGCTTAGGCCAAAATCCACCAACACAGCTTTTGTGGACATGAAAACAATGTTGCTAGCTATAATGAGAAGAAAAAACTTTAGCACAAAATTGTTTATATATCCTATGTATATAAAATGAAACCATTATCTAAAATAAAAATGAGTCTCAAATCAGAGCAGACTGAAACGTTTTCTCTAATGAGAGGGCATATTATGTTTAAAAGAGGAAGATGAACCTTGATAAGAGTTTAGGTGAAAATCACTTCAAATCTGTCAAGAATTAAGCCAATGCTGGCATAGATGATTATAGCCATGAATAATGCTCAAGAGCTTGAGTTTCAAATTTTAAGATATCAGCATACTATTATCAAGTCACTTTTTTAAAACTGGAAGTACAATATCCTTCTTTTTTTTTTTTCAGTAAAAAACTGTGCTAGTCCAACTTAGCATTAGCTATTTTTTTAAATATTTTTTAAAATTTGTAGATGGACATAATACCTTTATTTTATTTATTTATTTTTATGTGGTGCTGAGGATCAAACCCAGTGCCTCACACATGCTAGGCAAGTGCTCTACAACTGAGCTTCAACCCCAGCCCAACATTAGGTATTAAAGGTTTATAATGGGTTTCTTCTTTATTTCCTCACCATATCTTAATTCTAGAAAAGGGTCAGTAAAGCCTGGCTGATTGAATTATTAAATAGTTGGTGCTCAAAATTAAAATTAAAAAGTTACTTTGTTCCTAAAATCTCTTGGTTTATGTGTTTAAAGAAGTAACTTTTTTTTTTTTAATTCTTTCAGTTTTGGGGATCCAGTCCAGTGTCTCAAGCACATTAAGCATGCTCTCTACTACTGAACTCCACCTCCAGCCTTGTTAACAATGGCCAAGGCAGAATATCTAACAGATGTGTGGCTATAATCTTTGAACTGACTGTTGGGTTATCATCCTTTCATCTGACTTTTAAAGTGCTATCAACCCAGCCCAGTTCTAAGACCTACCTCAGGTGCAAAGAGAAAGAAGGTGAACTGTGCTGTCTTCCCTGTCACTGAGGCTTCAGGTTAAAGAAAAAAGGCCATTTGCCTCCCACCCCAAGAGTCTGCTTAAGCTAAAATGGTACACAACCCAAGCTACTCACGTTTAATATCATGGTGAATCACTTTCTTCGAGTGTAGAAAATCAAGTCCCTTGAGAACATGCTTTGTCACCCAAATAATTTCAAATTCTCTCATGGGTCCACAGCTCTCCAATTTTTCCAGAACAGACCCACCCTCGCCTGCTTCCATAAAGAGATGGACAGTTTCGCCCCAAAGGATAGCACCATATAATTCAGCGATGTTCTCATGCCGGAAGCAGGCCTGGATTTCCACATCAGATGGTTTAAATTGATCTACGGGGATCTAGAACACAAAAATAGGAACAAGAGTCTACACAACCTGAGAATAATTGAAAAGTATAGAATACTGGTCAACCAACAAACCAGAGGGCAATAAATAAACTCAAAGCTACTTTGAACTGTATGAAAAGGTATGTCCACCTTAAAGTAGTGTTTACCTCTGATCTGCCTCTACATTATATCAGCTCTCGGTATAAATTTCAAAGTACTCTAGTGAATCTTTAAGAAGGAACAAATGAGGATAACATATTGTTGGTCCTTTAACTATGATAAGAGATTGAAACATAATATTCAGCAATTCGTTTTTATTTTATTTTTTGATAAATCCATATTTTGAGTATTGGGTCTGGGGATCTAGCTCAGCAGTAGAGCACTTGCCTAGCATGCATGAGGCCCTGGGTCTGATTCCCAACACCACGGGAAAAAAAAATGAGTGTACTTTATTTGATCACACTTAAAAGTCCATTTAAAACAAACAAACCAGACATATATAACAGTGTAAAGATAGTGAAATGTCAAACTCAATGAACTATCAACTGAACACATAAATGAAATCCCCATCTAAATATAAACACAGAACTCTACCAGCAAACCAGAAATCCCCTCTTTGACTTTTCCAGTCACCATTCTACAAGGGTTCCCCACTATCCTGGTATCAAGCAGCATGGATTTGTTTTGCCTGTTTCTGTCCTTTATATTAAGAGAAATCTCATTTAATGGATCTTATTTTGTGTCTGTCTGCTTGGGCTCAATGTGATGTTTTTGAGAGGCATCCATCTTATTTTATTTCTAAATCATTTATTCTCTTTGTAGGACAGTATTCCAGAGTATAACTATTCTATCTGTCAACATTGGGAAAGTTTCCAGTTTGGGACTCTTACAAATAGTACTCATATGAACATGCTAGAACTTAGTTCTAGCTTTTTAATGACCACATGCACATGCTTCTGTTGGGTGTACCTACAGGAGTGGAATTATTGAGTCACATGATGTGTGAATGCTCAGCTCAGGTAGATTCTGCTAAACACTGTTCCCAGGTAGCAGCACCTTGGCAGTTATTACTAATAAGAAGAGATCGGGTCTTTTAAGTATGTGGTATACTTAAATTCAGCCCTTTAAATCTGAAGCCCTGAAAAGCCTTCTGCTTTCCTAGTCTGCTTCTCTGCCTAGCCCCCTTGTTGGTGGACAGGATCAAAGGAGCTACACACAGATTGCTCTTTCAGTGCAGGAGAGCTGGCCTTCACTTCCCTTTAAGGGAGGTGATGCTGTCCAAGCTGTTACTAAATATACCAACACATTCCTTTAATTTGATTAAAATCAACCAGGCACCTATGCAGACATTCAGGGGCTGAATGGTACCAGGTAGAAAGAAAATCCAGAAAAACAAATGCCTTGGGGTAAGATACACCTAGATAAATCCAGTGTAAGGGTAAGAAACTTGGATCGATACAATTTTTTTTTTTAAAACTCATAATGTCAAACACGCTATATGAATGTACATACCAGTTTACATGCCATTCTTTTCTTGGTCTTCATATCTTGTGCTAAGTACACTTTTCCAAAAGCCCCCCGAGGAATGAAATCGGAGCCTATGTTCCTATAAGTCAACTTCCAAGGGATGAGGAGAACATCAGAGTCTATTTGGTAGCGCCCATTCTGGGGAGTGATTACCTATAAGAAAATAAACATGCAGCAGGTTGAGAATCTCAGCAAGGTTGTCCACCCAATAAAAGCTGGTTATTTTAGAAGCATTCTTACACACTGCATTTAAAATTAATGGTGCCTTGTGTAACCCTAACATTGTACAGAGACTATATTTAGAACTTGAGCAAGACAGAGAAAGCATGTAAGAGAGACAGAGATCCCTGGTCGGACCTAGTCACATTTCCATCTATGCATGAGTGATTAATTGTCAAATAGAACTTCAAAATTATTTATCTAAGGAGGATGACCCAAAGGCGGAATATGAAGATCGCCACCGTGCCTGCACATTGACTTGTTTCTATTAAAATGTGCTAACCTGTTTGTCTGCATAGCTCTTACTCACACATGATGCATAGAGAGAGCGTGGAAATTACCTGAGGATCATGGAGGATTTTGGAAAACAATATGTGATGCCAGAGCAATGACTTAACCATGCCACATAAATAAACTCAGGGAAGGGTCATTTCTCATCCACCTACTCATTTAATATCTATTGCATGCCTAATGTGTGCCCAGCACTGGAATTGGCGCTCAAGAGGCAACCATGAGTGAGAGATAGATGATGCCTGACCTCAGCGGGTTTGAGACCAAGCAAACACTTAGAACCGGTTTTCAAAACTAGTGGATGCAAAGAAAAACATAAACAAATAAAAACAAAATTAGTCAACTCAAAAATTAAGAGCTAATAGCAATGAGGCTGACGAGGCTGTGGGCATTTGTAAAAAAAAGCTCAACAAACTGGACATTTAAGCTCTGTGGGTTTTACAGGGTAGAAAGTATATCTCACCTTTTAAAGAGAAAAAAAATGAAAAGATAACAATTAAAATGAACACAATTAACATGGTAATCCATGGGAAACATGACCAGGAAGACATATCAAGAATGTCTACAGTGTTCTTTCAAGGGATAGGTAGGTAGTCTCAAAAAATTAGTTTTTCCTAAATACAACAAGCAATATTATGGCTTCAGATTATGAATTCAGGAATTTCTGAAACTATCTAAGACATTATACTGTATCAAGTACAGAAGCACCTGAAGGCGGACATAAAAACCTGCCATATCTACTCTACAGGGCAGGAATGAGCACCTGACCCAGCTGCAGATGGCTGGGATTCCTCACTCATCACTGTTTCAGGCACAGTTCTAGAAACCAGAAGGGTTGTTCCCTCAGCCTCCATGATAGCTCATTTTAGCTATATCAAGGAATGAAGCAGAGAATAACCCTGAGAAATGCAAAATCACTAAACCTAAAAATCAGACATTTACTGAGTGCTTCTGCTTGTATGGGACCCTGTGCAGGGCCCTGGAGGAAATATGACTAGGTACAGACCACAGTCTTGCCTTGTTTGAAACATGACCTCTTTTCTTCAAGTGTCGCCTGTAGTTGCTAGAGGCCTCTTTGCAGCATGCTGAGGATATGGTGCACATGTAGACAGAATTATACTCAGTACTCAACTGAACTTCATTTGTGGCCCTTTCTTGATGGCAAATATTAATAGACCCAATTTCACTGCACCCTCCAGAATTTCAGGGCTTAACTAACCTTCATGAAAGTTTTACTTTTGTCCCAAATAATTTTGCTATGACCCGGTTTCACCCTCTTATTCTGTTCAAGAGGATGAAGGACATTAATGGCATTGGATTATTGAGTGCTAATTATGGACCAGGCAGTATACTCAGTACTTTAATACATCATCTCATCAAAGTCTACAATGGCCCTCTGAGGCAAGTACTATTTTTATCTCCATTTCATAGATGAGGAAACTGACTTCAAGAGGTTAAATTAATCTACCAGTCAGTTCCAGAGACAGGATTCAAACTCACCTCTGTCTTAACCCCAAAGCCATAGCTCCCATTGTCCGCCTAGGAGCCTTTTGTGTTCTAGAAGGCTTCCATTAAAGCTGAGCTATGATGCAAACCCAGTTATTAAAAGCCTACCTTTACTTGTCACTGAGCACATTTTAGTCTTCTCCTCTGCAAGTCTCTTCAACCCTAGTTTACCCACTTTTGTGTCTTAAGGGCCCTGCTCTGAATGTCCTAAGTTCCCCATGGTTACTTTGATGACAGGCTCTGAACTTGTGATGTACAAATGCTGACCAATGGACAGTTCTGCAAAGTTCCTGGTTCTTTCCCTATTGGGATTTGAGATTTTCTTTTATTTATTTATTTATTTATTTTCCTTCTTTCTAGAGGTCCCACCAAAGAATCTTATGGAACTCCATGCTGTTTATCTCTGCCAATTCTTCAACTTGCCAAGTGCAAACATTACATCTTCAAATGTAAACACTATGATCCTGCTTTCTATTTCCTCATCTAGATAATAATCTATCCTAAACAATATTGGGTCCAGGAAGAGCACTTGAAAAAATTTCTTAAGTATTTTAGTAAGAAAAAATTCTGTAAATGACTATATGATGTAAACTTGGGTTACAGTCACAGAAACAGATTATCTAGAACAAAGGCAAAGCTAGCTGTGTCCTACTCTGCTGGTCACAAAACACATGGAGCCTTCACACTCAAGTTCTGGGCTGTAAGACAGGTGCAGGGGTGTGAGTTCAGAGGCCACTACAGATGCTGAGGCAAGTTAACACTATAACACATGAGGAGGATTTCTGAACCCAGAGAAACTCCGACTCCATGACTAACCCCCAGGGAACATCACCTTTGAATTCTTTGGAGCCCTTCAGCTCCACACATAACCACGAGGAAAGAGTTGAGTGTTTGAAACCCATTTTGGGTTATCTATCCCTGGATCAAGTCATAAGACAGCCTAGGTTATTAAAAAACAAAAGAAAACTTGTAGCGTTCTAACACAAAACAATTGCTAGTTTAGTCTCCTAAAGTTCCTTTCCTACATCTCACTGGATGTCAGTGGAACCTTTAACAAATATTATTTTTAGGAAAATAGCACACATACATGCACACACACACAGAGTACCATTCAACATGCCTATGCTTCAGGTTATTTTTATAACTCTTGGTACTCCACCCTGCCTAATTAACTCTGCAGCGTTGTGGTTGTTGGCTGCCTGAACACACCTGGTCTCTGTGCCTCCAGGCCTTTGCACATGCTGTGCCCTTCTTCATCCACAACACTCCCCACCTCATCTGGCTGACCCCATGCTTCAGACCTTGGCTTAGGTACCAATTCTTCTTGGAAGCCTGTGCTGTCATTCTCTCTTCCCCTTCCCATACTTGTGTCTCTGTGTGGTGTTCTGCTGAAGCATTCCCAGAACAACAGGGGCGTAGTTGTATTGGGAAGTGGCACACTGTTTTAAAATTACCTACTCACTTGTTTCCTGCATGCACCAGGCAGTAAACTTCCAGTCTACTCAAAGTTCTGTATGTAGCTTCTGGAAAAGAACCTGATATACTATGGATGTCCCAACTATAGCTAGCAAATCAACCGGTGAATATTGCAATCAAAGTTGTCCACCCCTATAATACAAAGGGATGGACATACAGGTACAATTTATAGATAGATTTTACCTTGGAACCAATCTAGATGGTAGATAATTTCCTACCCTGTTCCATCCCCACCCCCCAAAAAGACATTCTTAATTTGTAGAACCACTACTAAATTATGGTTGACTCTTTAAATGGAAAACAGCAAATAAAGCCCACAAGTGTAAAGTTTTGATAGAGTAGTGGATGGAGATTGATGAGAAGAAAAAGATCTGGTATATCAGCTGGGTCCACAGGAAGCGCAAGGCTAGAAGGAAAGGAAGTTAAAAGCAACCCTCTGTCTCACAGTGGCTGAGATCAGAGGTGACAAGTCCCAATGCCTAGGCCATTACTCATGAAGTAGGTTACCACCAGTCACAGAGGTGGAGACAATCTTTATGTCAGTGACAGCAAAGTCAGTTGTAGCCCCCCAGACCCACTGACCACTGGCCTGGTGAGACTTGATCCACATTCCTGTGCATTTTGAGGTCCTTCTCTTATTCCATTCTGTTTTTCAGACTTCTTGTTTTTGCCCATTGTTGATCATTTTTGAAATAAAAATATTGTGAAAGCTTTCAAGATCCCTACCTTTATGGTAATGTCCTATTTTAAAATTTTTCTTTAGTATGCATTTGTTCCTTTATAGAGCATAGGCCCCTGGTCAGAGAATGACAACATTTTACTTTTACTCTTTGTTTATGAAATTTTCACTTCCTTTGAATGGCTTAGTTTGACACCTCTTCTGTCTTAGCTTTCCTGGCCTCACTCCTAGAAACTTTCAGGAGGCTATTTCTTTGTATTCCTTGTAACTTTCATGAATTCTTTTCTATACATGCCCCATCTCTCCAACAGCCTGATGGGCCAGGGGAATGGCTGATCATACCTAATTCTTTATATGTTTACTAGCAAGGGCAATTTGCTTATTCTGAAGGTTTTCATTTAACAAATAGGTAAAAAAAAAATCAAACATAAAAAGTCTGTTCATCATTATACACATTTATATTATTAAAATCAGTCATTGCTCCCAGTTCAAATTATTACTTCCTATTTATAAAAGCAAGTAATACTCTGAAAGCAAAGGAATTAGTGAACTATAAAATGCATTTTATATCCAGTATATCCAGACCAAAGGAAGCCACACAATAATGCAAAATATAATCTTGCTCCACATTCACCTGAACATAATTGGCTTCTAACAAAACAACACAACATAGTTGACCTAAATTACTGTGTTGTTTTTCATTAAATAGTAGCAGACTGTATGCTCATTTATTCCCTCAGCATTGGCCGTTCTGCCATTCAGATATACTAAAGGAAAGAGAGTCACTTTCATCAATAAACAGGTTTTGCAAGCTACCACCTACTGTTTTGCAAACTGTTCTTTTTTTAAAAAACTAGATCACCTTTAAACAGCACCCACGTTCACCTCTAACATACTAAAAGCCTGGCAGAAAGCCAGTTACACCTAAACATGTCACCTGATGGAACTATTGTGGCAACAAAGTGTTGTCACAATATTTTGGATTATTTGCATACTTGGGATGACTACACAAATACATCATCTGTCTTTCAGGCTGGCGATTGCAGAGTTGATCTGTGGGTAGCTATCTGCTACTTACAAACTAGGTTTCTGCAAGAACTGAATTTAGCCAATATTAGTGTATTATAACACTTCACAATGTGGTAAGAGAAGAATAACTAAATCAGCCTTTAAAAGTATTAAGACAAAGAGTTTATTCACCTCTCAACTGAAGGAGTCTCATTAAACCTCTCTTCTGGGTAAATGATGAATGAACTTTTTAATAATTTTTTTTTTAATAAATGCATTATTAAGGACTGGAGGAATAGTAAAATAGCACTTTCCTAGCATGTGGGAGGCCTTGTTCCATCCCCACTCCCCAAAAAAGACATTCTTAATTTTTAGAGCCGTTACTAAATTATGATTGACTCTTTAAGTGGAAATTTTCACGAAGACCTTTTTTTGCATTTTTAACATGGAGGTTATTCTTACCAGTAATTGCATTCAAAAACCACACCTGGCAGACAGTGTAAACCAAGTTCAAATGCCACTCTGCATTAAATGAAGCCACACTAGTAAAGCGGACACACAGCACTCAACTGATCAGAAAAAACATACCATATTTAATAAAATTCCAGATTCTTGTGGTCGGTGTCCATAAAAATGCTTTGAGGTATTTGATATATGGTTTGCAAAAGCAAGCAAATCCTCCACGGTTCCATATCTGACGGATGACAACAAAGGCACCTCTTGGCCACTAAGCAGCAGAGAGTCCGAACACTCCTCGTTTTGATTACTATCTTGACACATGGTCCTTAGACTGGGTTTGTAAACCGCTGGCTCTTCACTTGTATAAAGATTTTCCATGATGTCTATTACATCTGATACATTTAAGTGTTTAATTAGTAAATCAATTTCTTCTTTATTGTCACTTCCAGTGCTCATGTACTCCATTACTGTGGTGCCTTCTGGAGAGTCTACAAAAAAAAAACCACAAAACACTTAGTTTACTATTGATATTTGCATTCGAAACCAATGGGAATCTGAATTGAAAGTACCGTGACCAGGCTTCTCCCCACCTTTGTTCATAATGAGGGCTCTCTATCAACAGTGTGTGTGAATTCAAGTGGACAGGCAGTGTCAGTTGAAAGAGACCTTAGATAATCTTTCATGCAGCTAGCTTTGCAAAGGGAAACCTGAGATCCACAGATTCTGCTGGTTACTCACTGTGGCATCAGCTACTGAAAATGAACTTCACTAAACATAAATAGGAATTAAACAGCAGCTCAGAACTCTTTAGTCCTGAGGTTCCCTGCTCCTTACAGTTTCCAACTTCACACAGCCCAAGTGTACCCCAAAGTAGTATCTCCCTGCAAGAATCACTGTGTCTTTTATGCTTATAGTAACTTTAATGAAAAAAGAACTACTTGACAAAATTCAGGAACTAACTTACAAATAAAAGCCAAGTCGAAAACCAAAAAAAAGTAAAACAGATTTTAATCCAGGCAAATGTGATGTTGATAGGTCAAGTTTTCAGTAAAATTCTTACACAAACAAGTTTAAAAGCTCATTAGAAGGGAGATGGGACCTCAGATCCTAGTTCTGCCAGGGGTAAGTATGAGAAAGGAGACAATTTGTCTAATCTGTGATACAGCTCTCCCCTTCTGTAATAGTATAAAGCAAAATACTGCGAGTCCCAGAAGGTTAATCTAATATCTAAACCAATAACCTTCTAGAAGTTGTAGCAGCAGAAATAAGCCAAGAAAGCCCAATCTATCATAAGCAAACCACAGGTTAAGATCAACTGACTACCTCAGACAAAGCTGGATTTCAGTTCTTTTATGCAATCAGGTGCAACAACTTGGGAATGCGTAGATGAGAAAAAGAATGCAAAGCAAGGATAAAAGAGAAGCTGTTCCTGTGGATGTTAGAACAACTCAACCCCATTCTCAAAGTGAAAACAACAGGATCCAAAAGATCTAAGCAAACTTTGAAGCTGTCTGTCTGCTTAAACCACAGCATTCCTGAAAGTAGGGTCTCTCTCTCAGAGATGTTTCTGCCCTGGTATAGCTCAGTGGTAGAGTGCTTGCCTACCATTCAGGAGGTCCTAGATTCCATACCAAACACCAAAAAAGAAAAGGAAAAAAAAAAAAAGCACAAGAATACACACAGCACTACCAACGCTATGTATCTCGATCAACCTGGAGGTTCAGTTCAAAGCTTTAGGAAATGCTCTACCCGTGGCCACTGCATGCATGACCCAGCCATCCGCTTCTCTCTGAGTGCATTTCATTTTTCAAACAAACCCCACATAATTTAGTATCATCAGTTTCTTACCATCCTGCAGTCTAATATTCCTCTAGACTCAGGCAACTTGGAGTCAAACCTTAGCCTGCCTGATGTTAAACAAATACCTTAATCTCTCGGTATCTCATTTTCCCCCATCTTAAAATGGAAAGAATACCAGCATCTACTTCCTGAGAATGCTGAGAGCATTAAATCAATTTGTGTGCACATGTCTGGTGCACAGTAAATAAACGGTCATGGGTAGCTGCTTTATGTGTATGAAGAGAGAAGTACCGAGTCATAGATCTGGCTTTGCAGATATCGCATTAGCCACCTTTCTTATCAGCAAATGGGATGTGGCTACCTGTTCCGCAGCCTCCTTCGCAGTAAACTTTTGAAGATTACCTAAATTAAGAGTCAAAGAAAAAAAGAAAAAGCAGAAATCTATGAAATGCTTTGATGGTTGCTACCTCCACCCTTAAATCTAGAGAACGAGATTGCTCCCTCTCAGAGATGTTGCATGTCTTCCCCCCCCCCCCCAAGAGCTCAGTAGTTTATAAAGACAGATCCAACAGCAAGATCTTGTACATTTTTGAGGGGAGACTGAGATTCAAGTTCTTGGCATCTGTAACGTTATGAAGGGAACTTCTCAGGATAATGGAAGAACATTTGACTTCGGTTTCACTGAGCCATTTAGTTGCAGTTTCTCCTCATAGAATTTACTAGAAAAACAGAAGTAACAACAACAATGGCAACAAACCAGTCTAATTTATGGCCCAACTAGCTGCAAGGATCCAAGCCCCCTGGACTGACTTAAATGGATCACTTGAAAGAAAATAAAGTTCCCAATGCTAAGATGACTTAAGAGAAGAAAAGTCTATATAATTTACTCAGTTGATCTAGAGAGGAAAGACAGCTTTTGGTTTTTAAATCCTGCAGAAAGTCTCAAGCATTTATATGTAAACCAAAGAGGTTACACACACACACACACACACACACAAACACACACACACAAGCACACCCCTAAACTTTAAGGTGAGGAGAAGAGAGACCTGAAGGGGAGGACAGGAGAGGTGAAGGAGTGTTTGACACTGAGACTTTCCCCAGAGCTTGCTCCATTCCTTAGCAACTTAGGACTCTTGTCACACAAATCTGTGCTCCCTGGCAACTCTGATGACCAGTCATTCCTGCTATACACTCCAGCAAAGACACTGAGTATTTTCTCACCTTAATTAAGCAGACAGTAGGCTAACAGTTTAAGATATGCATGATCACTACACATCTAGACAAAGTACAGATGGTGAATACATTTTAGTTTAGCAATAAAGACTTTTAGCATAAGATGACTGACCTAGATACAGTTTATAATAAAAATCCTCATCAAATTTTGGCTTTCTAATAGAATAAAAATTATGCTAATTTTAGAAATGGAGAGATGGGCAAATACAGTCAAAAGTATGCACTTCAAATTATTTCAGAAATCAGCAATGAAATCAAGAGAAAATACTATTCGTAAACATTAATGTAATGCTCCTGGCTACTGCCACTGACATAAACAAAACTTGAGTGTTTCCTGGCAAGTGTGAATGAAAATGGCCAAGATTGTTAGGCATGAACTTCTGCCTAACAAAAGATGAATACATCTTGTGTTACTTCCCAATTAGAAGATATTTTTCCTGCCAAAATAGTTCTTTGCCCCGCAGGGCACATCTCTTAACTGTATTTTTGTTCTCAAAAAGTCCCAGAATGGTGCATTCCAGCCCTGTATAATCTAAGGCGCTCTTCTTCTAGATACCACAACTATCCTATTTCCCATAAAAGACAAAGCCTTAGGGCCATACGCCAGAGCAGACAGCACACAAACCTCAACCCATCAGAGGGATGAGGGCCTTGGCTGGAATTGGAATATACTCTACTTGACAAATGCGTTTCTCTCCCTGTTTTTATCAAGAGCAGCCTTTAATTCCGGTCCAAAATTGTCTTTCAACCTAACACCCCCCGCCCACACACACACACACACACACACACACAGCACCATCACCACCACCAAACACACACTCCTTTCTACCTGATCCTTAAAGCCAAGGAAGCGTCAAAGGGCTAATAACTTATAAAAGTGCCCATCATTTGAGCGAGTAGCAGAAGGCTCCTCCAGCCGCCAAGGTGCACTCACCGATTTCAGAAGGGAGAGTGCAGCCGCCCAGGCGGCGTCCCCCGAAGGCGGCGCAGTGACAGCGCGTCCCGGGTTCACAGCTCACTGCCCAGACCCGCACTGCCCAGTAGCCGGGGATCCGGGAAGTAGGAGGAAGGGGGAGGAGCCGCGAGTCCATACCTCGTGAGACCCTTGCGCAAGGTGCTTTCCAGCTGTGCCTGCCTGCAGCTGGCGACCAGCGCAAAGGGCCGAGGCGGAGCTGCACCGGCTCACCGCAACACTCCTAACTCACTTGGCCCCGGACTTCTCCCCTTTGCGGGCAGTACACTCTATTTCTGAGTGTGAACTCCCGGAGCACCCAGGGGAGGCTGCCAAATGGCACCTCGAGCTCCCAAACTCTGGGTTACCTGCGTTCTCCGCGCACTCCCACCCCAGCGCTCCAGCCGGGTTCCCCGGAAGGCTCGGTGCGCAGCTGGTGGCCGGCCTTCCGGAGCCAGGCACACCGGGGCACCGAGGTCCTGCGGCAGGATAGGGAGCCAGGGCGATCGGCCCCCGGAGCGTGGCGTGTCGTCCAGACTTGAGCCGGCGAGTGCGTTCCCGGCGGCCCGTGCTCTCAGGCCGTCCTCGTCGGCCCCTGACTCACGGCGTCTGAGCCAGCCCAGGGGCGGCGCAGCGGACGCCAGCCGCCGCCTCCCCGCCTTTTCCATTTCCCCTTTCTCTCCGTAAACAGAAAGAGACTGCCCGTTTGCCGTGGAAGCCCGAGCCCCCGCGCTGGGAAATTCCGTCCTCTCACCGCCCCCCGTTTGCCCTCGGGGCGCTGGGGCGGAGCCGAAGGCGGGACTAGGGAGGAGCGGAGCGGGGCGCTGGAGTCGTGTCACCTCCAGCAGGGGAGGTGTGTGTGTTGAGGGGAGGGGGGATCTGAGGACAGACTCCACTGGGACCCTGGATAGCAGCCGCAGCCCTAGTGGAACTTAGGCCACACCGATGAGCTTGCTCCCGGACCTGTGAGCAGAGGACGTACTCATGGCAGAGTCGGAAAGGGTGACCGTGTCCTTGCTCAGTCTGAAGGAAGATAGTGTATTCCAGTGTGCTCACGCGCTCTGGCCTGCTCCAGTGTCCCAGGCTGCGGCAGGGAGGATACGCTCTTGTGCGCTCCACGCCCGGAGCAGGGAGTCCAGGCACCTCTTCCTCTCCAGGCCGAACTGCGGGAGGCATGGAGAGCTTCTGGATTTCTCGGAACCAAGTCTATTGGAATACCCGCATTACGGACCGGCTCCGCCCAGATTTCGGCTCAGGACGGTGATAGTGGTCGCAAGTAGGGACTCTGCTGTAAAGATTTGGGAGAGGCTGTGGCACTGCGAGCCCAGAACCTGGGGTCGAGCACCCAGAAGGAGACCTGTGTACTTGGCCAGCAGAAACTGATTTTGTTATGTATAGTCACTATTAGTACTGGTGGTTCAGGGGTACCACCCCCACTATGAAATGTACCTGTTCTGATCTCCCCTTAACCTTTAGCACCAGCTGATAACCAGGGGTTTTCCTTCTTGAGAGGGAAAAGCATGAACTTCAGGTGAAGCCGGAAGAGAGTTCTATGGAAAAGCACCGCTCTCCACGAAATTCACTCTGCTGGGCATTCCCATCACCTAGGTACTTGAAGCACACGCCTCCCTCCCTCCCTCCCTCCCAATTTCCCAAGTATCAAGCACCTAGTAGAAGCCAGGCATTTTGCAACACAGGCCAGAGAATCAGAGGTAAGGAAAGGCAGACATCCTTTCGGTCCTACCGACGGATGAGAGCATTGGGCGTCCCAGGCACATTCTAGATGAAAACACCCTAAAACTTCTGTCTCTTTCCTACTCTGTGCGGTATCCATGGTCATTCTCCCTCCGCAATTTCAAAACTGCTTCTGACCCTTACTAGAGCTCGCCACAGGACTCTTTGAAAAGTGAAATATTCTTCTGAGTAAGTCCTGAGAGAATTGGTGACCGACATAGGCTAGCCAGAATAAGAAGCAAGGCCCTCATTATAAGACCTTAACTCGCATATGGGCAAGTCCAACTAGATAATACAATGACGGGAACAGATTATTTTAAATGCCATCGCTAGTGAGCGCTGTGACAGGAGTGACGCAAGACGTTTGCTATCCCCTCAATGGTCCAGGCGGTTGCATGCACCTTGAGGAGAACCCTTTCTGGGGGGCAGCGGGGGTTTCTAGTCTCGGAGGAAAGGAGTGGAATTTCCACCCACCCTGCAGCACTGGTTTGGCAGAAGCAGCTGAGCCCAGGTTGAGGTGGAGAAGCCCCGCTGGCCTAGACGCCTCTCAGTGAAATTTGGCACTGGTTCAGGAGCTGATTATCCCAGTCTCAGTTGAAATGGAAGTTATTTGTGTGTACCCTTTTAGCTTTTTCGCTGGAAACCAGGTTAGCACAGATTGTTAACCTCTAATTGAAACGTGAGAGAGGTCTCTCCCTCATCTGTTGTCTAAAGACAACAGAGAATGACCTTTATAAGCTTTTTAAAAATAGAACCTTCAAGCCACTCCCTTCTCCGCCCCTTCCCCCACCCCCCCTCGAATGAGCTCATTAAAACCACACCTAATCTTCTGGGAACTAAGTATTAGTTTTACTTCCTACATAGAGGTCTCCCAAAGATAGCTGCATTTAGGGAGCTGGTGCAATGGCTGCTTATGGCTGGCTACTCCTGACTTATGCAATAGGAGATTTCATATCTGTTGGGGTGAAATAGATGGTTTTACTTTAAAACACTTTTAAAGTCTAACAAAGATTGAGGCTGGCCACCTTGAACAGACTGAAGGGAGGAAACAAAAGAAAGAAAAGTTTGTCCACTTACTACATTTTTCTTAGGACTTTTTACAGGCTTATAAGAGCAATTCTGTACTTTTAGGAGCATGCTAGCATGAGTTTTAAATGTGCCAGTGAGAAACCACCTAAACCAGAGCGCGGGCCATCATAGGGGGGTTATGAGAGAAAACAATTTAAAGTACATTACAAAATGGCTCTCTTGAAGCTGCTGACAGCCAACAAAATGCACTTATAAATTGGGTTGTAACATATTGCAATTTATCTAAAAAGGCTATCTTCACTCAAGTTGAGATAATAATGGGTTTATGCTCTATTGTTTGGAAATCGGAATTCATTTGCTCATTTCTTCATGCAAGAAACAAAAATTAACTAATTATCTGGCTAGTCTATTAATCTATATAATCACAAATGTGGTTGTGTAGTAATAAATATAATACAGGGTACTATTTTCCAGTGTCTTCATAATCATAAAATTTGGAATTTTATGAATAAAATAAACTGGAATAAATTCAGTGGTACTTATATGTAGCTTAGTGAAAACTGTAGTTTTTCTCTTTAAAATTATACTCACAAAACACAAAGTGTTAAAGGAAGATAATTGCTGAATTTGAAGAAAGTTTAATGAAGGTATTTTTAAAGCTAAGAGGAATTTGAACCTGATTTCATGAGCATAACTTTTTTTCAATATGGCTTTATATTGAAACAGCTATATCTACATTTGCTAAGATGTTTGAATAATCTCTTCACACTTCTGATAACTTTCTAAGGAGAAATCCTTTAGACATATAGGTAATACATTTAAATCTATTATTATGTTAAAAATGTTTAAGCAGTTGAAACTGGATTTTAAAGATCTAGTAACTCTTCTTTTTCTTTTGTTGACATATATAAGTTTCTTTTGATAATGTGTATGGATTTCAAATGTAATGGGACTTTTTCACATTAAGTATTTGAAAATGACAAAGCTTTAGTGTGCACAACACACATGCTTCAATAGAACACTTGGCTTGGACACCACTAAAAGGGCACACAGCATCATGGATAATATATTCCAGGGAGGTGGAGAGTCAAGGCTCTATCCCTTTTGTGGACCGGGAATCTATCTCATGCTCCACTCCTGCTACTGACTGGGCTTCTTGGGCTTTGATCATGCTCCTCTGCTACCTGAAATACAGGCTTCTTCCTCTAACACCAACTGGGCCCCCTATCTCACTAGTAGCAGAGCCTTTTAGAATTGAGAGATGAAACTTCTCAGGGGAAATAGGACAGCCAGGCTAGATCTTGGTTTTAGGGAGTCAGGAACCATACCAGAAAATTGGGCATCAAAAATGAATCAGTCCTCAAGGCTCTGGTAATGAGATGACATGCCAGGAGATGAAAGACTGAGACGCCAGCTCAGCTTTTGAGATTATGTGGTTAGCAAATGCTAAGGAGCTGGGGTCAGAAAAAAAAAAAATCACTGAAAGTAGCCTACTAAGGAGGACAATAGTTTGTCCCATTCTGAAAAATATATCAGCGGCTTTTGTAGATGATAAAGGGCAACTCCAGATGGTGAGGGGCAAACACACACAGAGAAGAGTCACTAAAGTAACTACAGTTACCTTTACCTTATTAGCATAATAAACACACACTGCAAGTACAGTCTTAAGATGGTATGAGACATGCCACACGTGAAGAAAAATGTAGATGTGGCTATTCCATACATGATGACACAAAGAGACTGAGTTCCTGCTGGCCCCATAGATGCTGTAAAAGCTGATCCCTTTGTCCTTTGCTTGAGCTGACCTGAAACTCTTGGTCAATGCTGTCTTCCTTCTGACTTGAACAGAAGCCCCTAATAGTAAAACCTTGCCTATACTAAATCCTTTCTGTGTCCAGTTTTCATTTCTACCCACCCTGGACCCAACGACCTGAGTTAGGTAACAGTAGAAGTGTGTTCTGCAGCTATGGGTTGATGCAGGACTTGCTCAGTCTCCGCATCTTGGGTGGATCACCATCTTGGATGGATCACCTTCTTGGATGTCTATCCCTATGTGATAAACATAGGGATGTCTATCACAGCTGTGGGGACCATAAGGTACATCATTAGATTCTGCTCTGCTCTAGCAGTCTCCTAAGACATCCTGGATACAGTTGCAAAGATAAAAGGCCCTGGAGGGCTCCACCTGCCTGCCTTTGGGAGTGAATGGAGTATTTCTAACACATTGGAGCTCCTTTGTGTATAATCCTATGCACTCAGCTCTTACAACCCTCTGGGCTTCCAGTCCCCTATAGGACTATAGGGGAGGGATGCAGACAAGGAGGGAAGTATCTGTCTTCTCTGTCCTCCTCCTACCCTTTGGACCTTTACTGTACTAAACAACTTTCACCATCATTATGTGAAGTGGGAACAGCAACTGAACAGAGAAACAGAGCCCCAGGCAGAGAGGGAGTCTTCACGTGTGGGAAGGGGAGAGAAGTCCCCATAATCTTGGGCAGGGAAGGGGAGTTCCTGAATGCACTCAGCAGTAGCTGTTGTTTATATGTGAAGGCTGTGT